ATTGCGATGCCATACTTGGGCCGCAAATGTCAACAAGCAACTCTGCGCTACGCGCGCCACCCGATGCATCATTATGGTGCATTTAACTACGACGTAATGGGCACTTGACGCCATCGCCATCGCCGTCCGAGTTGACGCCGCCTGGAATCGCATGCCTCCATGCCGATCTGAACGATGCCAAGATGCGAGGCGTCCGTGTCGCGTGTACTTGTCGATGTCGACTCGCTAGTATTGGCGCTGCAGGACGTCGCCAGCGCCTCTCGAAGCGACGGCCAAGTGGCGCGGCGACGTCCTTGAGTTCGTCGACCCAGATGCTGCAGACGCTGATGCTATGGGAAGAAACCTCCAACACTGTGAGTCTTGAGAGCTACGTCAACAATCTTTCTTTCTCCAGCCAAGCCGGGTACGCTGCGCTCACCGACTCGCTTCAGGTGGCCCTCTTGGACGTGGTGCAAGACCTTGACGGCGACGATGCCTTGCCGCACCGACTCCCGCCGGATAGCACTCGATCAAGGTACTGCGCAAGACGTATCACAAGTTGTGATACGTCTTGCGCAGTACCTTGATCGAGTCCAGTGGGAGGTTGTGAATCACAACCTCCCACTGGACTCGATCAAGGTACTGCGCAAGACGTATCACAACTTGTGATACGTCTTGCGCAGTACCTTGATCGAGTCCAGTGGGAGGTTGTGATTCACAACCTCCCACTGGACTCGATCAAGGTACTGCGCAAGACGTATCACAACTTGTGATACGTCTTGCGCAGTACCTTGATCGAGTGCTATCCGGCGGGAGTCGGTGCGGCAAGGCATCGTCGCCGTCAAGGTCTTGCACCACGTCCAAGAGGGCCACCTGAAGCGAGTCGGTGAGCGCAGCGTACCCGGCTTGGCTGGAGAAAGAAAGATTGTTGACGTAGCTCTCAAGACTCACAGTGTTGGAGGTTTCTTCCCATAGCATCAGCGTCTGCAGCATCTGGGTCGACGAACTCAAGGACGTCGCCGCGCCACTTGGCCGTCGCTTCGAGAGGCGCTGGCGACGTCCTGCAGCGCCAATACTAGCGAGTCGACATCGACAAGTACACGCGACACGGACGCCTCGCATCTTGGCATCGTTCAGATCGGCATGGAGGCATGCGATTCCAGGCGGCGTCAACTCGGACGGCGATGGCGATGGCGTCAAGTGCCCATTACGTCGTAGTTAAATGCACCATAATGATGCATCGGGTGGCGCGCGTAGCGCAGAGTTGCTTGTTGACATTTGCGGCCCAAGTATGGCATCGCAAT